CTACGCAACCAAGACATGCCTAGAATCATGTCGAACTTGGTGTCGAGGATGTCAAAAGACACCGGCTCGCACGCAAGTGGCGCAAAGTAGACCGGAACGCCGTCAACGCATCGGTCAATTAACTTTTGCGTGCGGCCGTCYGCGAGTGTAACTTGCGTAGGTTGCGTCTTCCTTCGAATGCGCGGGCCATAAAGGCTTGACTCATGAAGTTGTGAGACGCTCCGCAATCAATCAAGGCACTACAGGTTGCCTTTCCGATTTGAATGTGGATATAGAGCAAAGGAGCGTCGGTTTCGGCGTACCTTTGGGTGGCGTACTCGCGGTCAATCGTCGCAAGATAGGAGCGGAAATCGACAACCGCTACCCCGTCGTCCGTCAACGGAGCTGGTACTGTAGTGTGCAAATAGGAGCGTAGTTTTGCCATCAAGGCGTTGCAATGCGGCCTTGGCAAGGTTCCGRTCGAGGGTAGAGGCATCCAAGCGAAGTCCTCTCTCGTGAGCGGGTCAAGCTCCTCAAGTCTTGACCACGTCGTCGAGTCCTCGRAAATCAGTGGCGAAYTGRCCGGATCACTTGCCGACGGTGTACAGGCTGCGCATACRCAATCTAMRTGCACGTGGCTMGGCTGGTCTARTGGTGGTACCAGCTGGGCGGCATAATCYTCGTACGTAGCACGAGAATCAGCGACTAATGCATGCTCCCCGGTACTGACATCGATTGCTAGCAAGGCAACCGGGTCCGGCGGAGTGAGGAGAGACGTCGCCCCTCTCCTTGCGTAACTCAGTTTCCCGAGTTTGCTGGACGGGGTACGCGTGCCTTGCCCTTTTCGGGGCATTGTGAGGTCACATGGGTGACTCCGTTACACCAAAGGCAGTATCCGTACTTCTGACGTAGGTCATAGACCTCCTTGGTGATCTTATATGCCGTCCATGGCTGCCCAGCTCCCGTCGCTGCCGTCTCTTGTGTCGCCTTGTTCTTACGAACTCTCTTGGGACGCTTCGGTGGGAGCGCTGCGACAATTCCTCCATCACCCGAGGATGCTGCTGCAGCATGGTGGTCGTCGGTTTCCTCAGAAATCACGGCATTGTTATGTGCCGGACGTTGATAGGCCTGCTTAGCCACATAATGCGGCTGGGATCGTCTCTCGTTAGCGGCCTTGTCGTCCGTTTGGATGACCAAGTTCGCTCGATCCAGAATGCCCTGGAATGTGGTATAGTCGTACTCATTACCGAGTGCCGAAAGCAATCCCGCGCATGATCGCGAGAAGAACTCGGATCATTGATTTGGAAACGTCAAGTCGAAGCCTGGTGTGGTCACTATCTTTTGCCACTTCGTTGTCCAGTCTCGAGTTSGCATGTTCCCYTGAGAGCATGTGTACACCTCATTCATGGCCGCCTTCACGACGTTGCGGACCATGRACCRGGTGAACCATAGCTGCTCGAACTCCTTCCACGTGATGTGCGTGTGGAGTTCGGCGATGGTGCACTTGTGGGTGGCCGCCAGGTGGTTCATCCATGCCTGCGCTCCTCCAATCAGTTGCAAATAGAGTGCCTTCAACATGTCGTTCGCCAAGATAGTGCGGCATGACGCTTCCGTGAGGAAACGTTGCCACCATGTCAAAGCGTCCGACTTGTTGGAGTCGTCGAACTTGCWGATGTCGAAGTGCGGCATCTTGAATGTCTTTGTAGCGGCGTCCGGTCTCGTCTGTAGCTTGGTGATGTCCGTCTTGAGGGCGGCCACCGTGCTGCTGATCGTGTCCGGTTCGTTGAAAACACCTATATCGCCGATGATGGTGACAACGTGATCGATGCGTTCGTTGATTTGCTTCGTCGCGTCCGTCGTGCAGCCTGGCGCTGCTGAGGCCTTGGCCTCAATGCCGTTGATGCGTGCGATGGTAGAGTTCATCAGCTGTTGTTGTTGCTGCTTCTGCATTGCTGCGTCGCGGACGTCGGCCGTTACAGCGGCCAGGTCTTGCTGGTACTGCTGTCTCTGCTGTCGTTCCGCGTGCAGGTGTGCCTGCAGTAGTTTGTTGTTCCACATTACTTCCCTCATTACGTTCAACATCACGGTAGCCAGGTTACTTCTCTCTGCCTCCGCCTGTGTCGGCTCCGCCTGCGTTTYCGTAGGCACAAAGATCATGYCTTGGAGTACCGTTGTCCACTGATGCTCACTAGCAATCAGGGACTCCGTGCTGGCGGCATTCCGTCTGTTTCGTGCCGCTTCGTCAGTCTCAGCTGTCCGCTGAGCTTCGGCTGCCGCCKCATTGGCCAGCCGCTGACGTTYTGCCTCTGCCGCAGCCTGCTGAGCCTCGGCGGCGGCTACGGCGTCTGTAAATGCCTGTAGCCGCCCACGATAGTCAGCCAAAGGTTCGCTGGCCTCTCGGACCGGGCATGCGGGAAGATCTCCGGTGGTGTCTTGTACTGTCAATGCCGTAMTTGATGYCGCTGGAGTCGTCCGTCTGCTGAATCTCTTGGGTCTTGGAGGTACCGCAGGGCGGGCACGAACTGCGATCCTGGCACTGCGCCGTGGCAGTGCCTCGGTGTCCTGTTCCATCGACATCAGTCTGAACTGATGCGGTACTTGAGAGGTGCCGGTGTTCACAGAATACAGGGGGGTAGGGAGAGTGGGAACAGGGGTAGAACAATCAAGCAATATACATACAATCCCCTGTCCCACTGATGGACTGTAGACACCTAATCAAACAGAAAAAATAAATTTCCCGTAAACCCTTCAACAATTTCGTAATAAGGATACGGCTTAGTATGCTAAAAAAAAAATTCGGAAAATTTCAGAAAAAAACGCTTGAATTTTCAAAAACGCAAATTTCGGGAACTTCCGCCGTCAAAATCCGATATTTAAAAGCCTAAGCCTATTTTCGGAATTTCTCAAACAAGGAGAATGAAAAAATTTCGCGAAAATTTCGGTCCCAACCCTAATTTTCCGCGTTTCGGCGAAATTTCCGGTTTTACGGTCCCAAAACGTTCGAATTTCCCCAAGTTGATCTAAAACCCAAAGATTTTCGTAACCCTAATTTCCAATACTGAAAGACAACGGAAATCCAAAAGACGACGAAATATAGGATGTACAACAAAATGCCAAAAACGGAATGCTGAATGGACATCAGAAACGCCGGATTTCAACATGATACTGATTCAACCCTAATTCGTGTAACATCAGAAATCTGAAACTTCATCAATTATCGGATTAGTATTACTCAATCAGAACTCAAATAGCAGCATACCGGAAGAAAACAGAAATCCGAATTATAAGTCCGAATACCGAATTGAACGGAAAGGCCAAACTAAATAGAATACTGAAAGAAAAAAAAAAAAAAAAAAAAAAAAATTCCAACTTTGAACTCGATAGTAATTCAGCGCCGATTTAGAAGATCAAACCAACTAATCTAATTCTAAACGGACTTACCTGGTGAGCAGATCCGTTATTGGTCTGCTCCGATACAAAAACTGTTGCATACTTCAATGAGTATGGGCAGAACCAAAGATCAACCAATGTAGGATGAGCATATATGCAGCGGAAGTCTGATGAACGGACTGACTCACATAGACTGACTCACATAGACTGACTCACATAGACTGACTCACATAGCATCACTCCACACACATACAATCGTGCGGTGGTGGGGTCTGAGCCAGAAGATGCTCAGCCCCCGTACACACATACACAGATGAATGGGGAAGGAGAGGCGAAGCGGTGGGGGAGGTAGACAGCACCGAAAGTCACCGAGATAGAATCTGATTGGTCACCGATATGGTAGTCCAAAATGTCATCCAACAAGATCAAAATGTCGAGGACCATAGGTCACCAATGTCGGGGATACAGAGTCCAAATGTAATCAGTGTCCGAACTGTGATGTCGCCAAGTATCAACCCCAACGATCTCCAAGTCTCCAATCTGGTAAGTACCACAGTCTCATACCACCGAAATCCAACTCTGATCTCTGTCCAACTAGTATAAGTCTCCAATCTGAAGAAGAAGAAGAAGAAGAAGAAGAAGAAGAAGAAGGAGCCGAGGAGGAGAGAGAGAGAGAGAGAGGGGACTGGCGAGGGGAGGGAGGAGAGAGGCCTCCAACCCCGATACCTCAGGCGGCTATGGCCGCCGGCACACCCAGTCGCCGCTGCTGCTGCTCGCCCGCTGCTGCGCTGCTGGTCCTCGCTGCTCCTGCGCTAAACTTAGCACCAGCGCTGTCTCGTGCTGTACCATACCGTACCGGTAGAATGCCGGTAGGTCGATCCCTGACTGAGGCTGGACCGGTACCTTTGTACCGGTGGGCAGAGGTCGGCCTCTATGCTGCGAGGCCTGACCGTGCCCTGAACCGTCCAGATGGACGGTTCAGCCCCAACCGGCGGGCGGCAGCCTCAAGAGCGCCGCCAGGCCCAAACGGTAATGTCGTTTGGGCCTGCCCGTCGGGTCTGGTCCAAGGTGAGGCCTTTATGGCCTGTAGTACCCCAAGGTCGGGCCTTTAGGCCCTGGTGTGTCCCTCTAGCCCTAAGTCGGGTCCGGTAGGACCCGTGTGCGTCGAAGATGTAACACCCAGTCTGCTGCCTGGCTGGGCCTCGTGTATTTGCAATAGTTTCCAATCGGGCCAAAGTGTCCGCGCCCAGGCCCATTCAAACAGTGGCGTGGGATTGGTTAGGCATGCCCAACCACCCAGAAGAACACGTGAGGTTCTCCCTTCTTTGCCTGTGCTGCTGGACGAGCCTAGAAAGCTCAGGAATTATTTTTGATTCTCACGAGTATGGAGGATGTAAGCAACTGGCGCATGGAAACTGTCGGGCGCCCACGAAACTTTGCCAAAATTGACAAACTCGTGCCATATTGAAATTCAGGGGCCCGCCTTCACTTAGGGCGGGCTCATGCTTGTTGAAAGCGCCCTGCAGGGGCATGTAGAGGAGCAAACTCGTAACAAGGCCTCTGCGAAGATCCATGCTTACATAGGGATTCCAACAGGCTTTGCTTGGGCCCCTCATCCTGGTATCATAGCCCTATAAACAGGCATTGGCACATATTTGTAGGCCCACCTTCACTTAGGGCGGGCACGGCACTTTCAGACACTGCCGAGAGACTAAATCCACGCACACACACACACACACACACACACACACACACACACACAC